GTCGGCGAATCCAGGCACAGGTGGCCCTTCGTGGGTACATGGGGGATTGGCGTTTTGGCAGGCTTATGAGTAGGCTGACGAGAAAGTAATACTATGCACTGTTCACTACCTTGGCTATGAAGACGTCTGAGTCTGATGCTTGGGGGTTGTTGTGGAACGGTTGGCGCGTGCGGACGCTGGGGTTATTCGCCCGTTGCAGAATTCCGAGGACCAGTGACGAACGGTATCAAGTCGGAGAATCGGTGTCATTTGACAGAGCGCCGTTTATCATTGCCGACGATGAGCAAAAGCGGCACAGGGAGCTAAGGTGAAGGGATGCGGGGGAGGATGGTCAAGATCGAAGCTTTCCAAGACGGAAATTCATGGTCGCCAGTCGTACCCAGGCAAGCCAGGCCTGCCTGGTGAGGTACGAGGCTCTTCCAGGGTTTACAGGGCAGGCACAGAGGGTGAGCTCCACCACACGATGGGGCCATTATGGAACCCGAACCAGAGCCATAGGGCAGCAGGCCCCTGGCTCGAGGGTGAATATGGGCCTTGGAGGCCCCTCGGAGTGGACTCGTCAGTAGGTACCTGGCGCTGTGCTGTGCTGTGTGCTACTACCTTACCATCTCGGGTAAGGTAGGTACCTAGGTAGGTGGGTACCCACCTTGGGTAGGCACCTAGGTAGGTAGGTAAGGTAGGTACTTTACCTTGAGGAACAGTCAGCCCTGCCAGGTGCCTCCTCGATCCCTCAATAATCCTTCCAGCTCTAGCTCCAGCTCCAGGCTGCAACTCGCACCGTTCGGGGTTGGTTGCCAAGGCCGGCATCGTGAATGCGCTTCAGCTCCCTTCGCCCCCCCTTCTCCTTGCTTCTCGTATGCCGAACCCTCCTGCCAACTCTCACATCTTACCTTGCTGTTCGTTGACCGAGGCTTGCTACCCCTTTCTAGAGATGCTTGGAATTGCACTCGGCATTGCAATGTGAAGCTACCCTCTTCTTCTGTTTTCGCACACCACCCCAAACGATCACCATCACCGCGACCCTCATCCGACAGCTCGCGCCCCTCCTCGCGCGACAGACACGGACGGACGACGCCCATGTTGCCTCGTCGCCTGCCTTCGACGACCTGAATATCATTCCAATGCAGGGCTCAATGCCTGCCAGCTTCCAGCGGAGCCGCGCCATCTTTGCCAGCGATGATTCGCCTTGGAGGCCACGCTCGTTCTACGCCCACCGACGACAGATCCAGCGGGCCCTACCCGTGGCTGCTGCAGCCTTCTGCACGCTGCTTCTTCTCATCCTCTTCCGCCTCGGCCTCTTCAGCTCAGACCAGCCACCACCGCTCATCGTCGATCCCACACCACCCCACGACGATGGCAGCTCTCGACCACCCTTCTACCTCTGGGAGACGGCGAGCTCCTTCAAGCCCGTGACTCTCGATCCCAAGGGCAAATCGGTCAAGGACCTCTGCGCGACCTTTCCGCGCCACATCCTCGACACCATTCAACCTGTTTTGAAGCTCGGGCATGCCGACCTCGGAAAGCCGGCGCTCGACGCCCAGATGAAGACAGTCTCGGCTTGCCTCGACAACGTCCTCGTCTTCTCCGACCTCGACGACGAACTGCCCTCGGGCCACTTTGCCCACGATGTCCTCTCCGACCTCCCTGCCTCGTACCGCGACCACGTCGACTTTGGAAACTATACATACATGAGACAGCTGCGTGAGAGCGGCGCTCTCGACGTCGACAAGGAGGCCACGGCCAAGATCAGGGGCTGGAATCTTGACAAGTACAAGTTCCTCCCCATGATCGAGCGAGCGTGGTCCGCACGCCCCAACCACCCCTGGTACGTCTTTTACGAGACCGACACGTACATCTTCTGGGACAACATGTTCCGCCTCCTCGACAACTTTGACCCCGACGCCCCGCTCTACATGGGCAGCCCGAGCCCCGGCCGCGAGGTCGCCGACACGAAGCACCAGGTCTGGTTCGCCAACGGCGGGCCGGGCTTCGTGCTGAGCCGCGAAGCCGTGCGGAGGCTGCTGAAGCGCCAGGTCGGCGCCGACGGAGACTATCTCGACGCGCCGGCCAGTCACCGCTGGCGGGACCTGCTGGAGCACGACTGCTGCGGCGACAGCGTGCTCGGCTGGGCGCTCTACAAGGCCGGCGTCACGCTGAGCGGCCTCTGGCCGCTGTTCAACCCGCACTCTCTGCATGCCGTCCCCTTTTCCGACAAGTACTGGTGCCAGCCCGTCGTCGCGCTGCACAAGACGCGGCCGGCCGACATGGAGGAGCTGTGGCGGTGGGAGCACGCCAACAGGAAGCACGAGGTAAGGAGCCAAACACCGCTCGGCTCGGACGATGTTCTTGCTGTGCGTACTGACACCTCCTAGAAACCCATTCTCTACCGCGATCTGTTCGAGTTCCACCACCCAGGACAGCCCAGCACCCGTGCCGACTGGGACAACATGTGGGAGCCCATCACCATCGAAGGCCCACCCAAAACGGCAACCTTTGAGGAGTGCGGCGCCGCCTGCCAGGAGCATTCCGCGTGCTTCCAGTACAACTGGCACGGTAACAAGTGTTACCTCGTGCAGTCCATCCGGCTGGGCCACGCGCGCGACGCCGAGAAGGAGACGGAGGAGCACAAGGGCGGCAGCTTCCAGAGTGGATGGCTGTCGGAGAGGATAGCAGAGTGGCGGCAACAACAGAGGTGTGAGGTTGTCCAATGGGTTCGGCCGAGTCTGACGAGAATCTACTGAGTGGCTGTGTAATTTTGGGCTATGGTGTTTTTGAACAGTGGCCACGGGTGGTTTTGGTGCTTTCATCGGCGAACATGCACGGATATGGCCTTGGGGGATCTCTATGGGCCTACGATTCGGCTTCAATACTACGGGCACTGGTTTGCGAAGGTGACTACAGATGTTTTCCGTTTGGCGACGGTGCGTTTATGCATATTCACATCGACCTCTTCCGCTGAGTGAAACCACGGATTAACTGTCGACGTCTGTGCGAACCCTAGAACCTCCCGATATTTCTCATGTCCCACCTCCGGCCGCCTCAACGCCACCCCCCATCGACAGAATACATCGCCCCACTGACAAACGTACTCTCCGGGCCGAGGAGGAACAGGACCACGTTGGCCACCTCGTCAGCCGTGCCCAGCCTCTGGATGGCCGACGGCTCGCTGAACGGCGCGTCCGCCGGCCTCGCCGTCTCGTCCCAGTACTGCTGCATCATGGGCGTGTAGATGGATCCCGGCGCCACGGCATTCACCCTCACCTCGCGCGCGCCGTTCTCCTTGGCCGCCGCACGCGTGAGCCCGAGGACGCCGTGCTTGCTGGCCGCGTAGGCGCCGTGATTCGCCATGTCTGGCTCGGGTCAGTCGTCACGGCTTCAAGGTTTATATCAAATTCAAGAAGAGGAGGAAGAAAAGAAGAAGAGAACCTAGAGGGGGGCAGGGCGTGCGCCCGAGGGGGAAAGCGAGCGAGCAAGGGCGGAGAAATGGCTGACCTGTCGTGCTGGGAATCGAGGCCATTGTTCACGATCGACCCCCCGTCCGCCACAGCGT